TTTTAAACTTTTAACTTATACTTTAAAACAAACAATCTTTTTTTTAACTAGTTAAAGTTAAAAGTTGATAGCTGAAAAATGTAACTAGTTAAAGTTAAAAGTTAGCCGGTTCTTTAACTTTTTAACTAGTTAATTAACTAGCTAATCCCCATGCCTGGTTTCTTCCCATGTGTCTGTATGATGATGTTTTCAGTGTGCAGTACCTTAGGTAAATTGGTGGCATGAGAGTGCAGATGCAGAGCAAGCGGATCTCATGATTTATCATGGAGATTGAAGATAAATGTTTAATGTACTACTGACGCCGACAACAACAACAGTAACAATAACCTGCTTCACAGTGCAGGAAAGTTCGATTACCCCTAGTGTAAGCTTGAACCACTTTGTAAACAAAGTCAGTCAGCTATTTTTACGGTGTTTCCAGATATAGACATTCCCGGATGGTCCAGGTCTTTCAGCTGTCCCTGAGGTGAAGGCTGAAGAATGGAAAATGTAGACCTTTATAAAAGAACTTCAATATGTGATGGGATACTTAATAACCCAGTATTTTAGATGTGTTGGATTTTGCTATTCAGGAATGCTTAGCACATCAAGTCTCGTCCAGGGTTGCTGTAACATCCTGGTGCGCCTTGAGTTCCTTTAGCACTGTTAGCATTATTAGGTTTGCAAACATGATTGACAAGATAAACCCAGAAATGTCAAATAGAAGTGCGTAGTGTTAAATACATTCTGCCCTGCTGTGATCTTCTTGAGGTCTTTGCAACAGAAAAATTGCTCTGTTCTTTTTCTGTAGTGAAAAAACAGGCTCTGGCTTAGCAAGTCTAGTGGAACTGATCTAAATTTTGATACCACAACTTTTCAAAAAGAAGTATGTCATCATCACAATTCCTTGAGGTTGCTTCCTGTTTCAGAAGTAATGATAGTATGTTAGGCTGAATACATTGTAGAGCTGAAGGTCAGTGCGCTTACAAAAAATAAACTGAGAATCCAAAAGCTTTGTAGTTTATTGGCCCAGGATAACATTATTATTATTTATTACTTCTGTTGTTGGACATGCACAGGGCCAGATCCCTATAATGGTGTGCCAATAGATAAACAAAAGACAATCCCTGAGTTCACAGGAACTACCTTCAAGTTGTTTTGCTGATATTTTAAATTTAGAATACAGAGTGAAATCCTTATCCTACAGAATTCGGTGGAAATTTTATCAGACTTCAGTGGAAATTTACTGTTGAGCTTAAGAGGCAACAAACTGGTGAGTGCTTACCCAATTATGAAATAATTCAAAATCAGCTCAACCCTTCCTTCCTTACCCCTGTCCTATCAGCTCCTACCCACCTATCCAATTCATTCCCCCTCACTTGTTGACTTCTTCCTTACTTCATACCTCATCTCCTTTTCCCTTCTGAGCTTCCCCCTCAGAGGTCATGGAGCTTTCTCTTTCTAGCATTGCCACAAAGAAGCAGGTTCCGCTGTTTCTGCTCCATTGAAATTAGAGGGAGAATTCCTACTGTGACAGCTTGGGGGGAGACCCCATTTGTGTAAAGTGCTTACAAGACTTTGTGCCCACCCTTGCAGGTAGATCTCGTGCGTTCCTTCACGTTCCGCAACTCTAAGCAAAGCTATACTGGGATCCCCATTATCGTGGCGAACATGGACACTGTGGGCACGTTTGAGATGGCAGAGGTTATGACTAAAGTAAGTACTGACTCCCCTCTTTTCCTGCAAAACCTGGGTAGCCACTTGTTTGGTAAAGGGCTATGATGCAAAAACATAGTTGCTTGTTTCTACCATAGTTGTAAAATCTAGAATGCAATAGTAAAAAAAAATATGGCTTTGTCTTCAATGGGCAGAGGGGGGATGGATGGAGTGTGTGT